TCTCTCTCTCTCTCTCTCTCTCTCTCTCTCAGTTCTGCTTCACATGATTCTGAAAAAGGTAAAACGTTTAAATTTGATGCAGCTTCACAGTGACAAACGTTTCTCTGAACAAAGTGAAAATAAAGATGGACGACATGACGGCTCCCAAAAGTGAAATGAAAAATAATTTCGCCCCCTGGTGTCTGGCTGCAGTATGAGTCATAACCCCTCCTCCATGTTAACAGATGGGAAATGAACCAAACACATTTTTGGAATTAGTTATTTGATGATAGAAAAACAGGCGGAGACGTCATGATTGATTTTTAAACTGTGAAAGCAAATGAATCACAGCCATTAAATGATTGAATGAATGAATGAATGAATGAATGAATGACAGTTTAGTTTAGTTGTGTTGAGCTTCAGTTCAGACAGTTGCTGTCGATCACGTGTTTCTCTGTGTTGTAGAAGCAGAGCTGATCAGCTGCGTCAGGACTTCAGACCTGGACACAGTGAGTGAAGATCATTGCTGCTGATCTTCCTCAATCTGCTCAAACCGAATCTGGTGACCGACACCTTCTCCTGTGTTGCAGCTGATGGCGCTCCACCAGCAGGGGGCAGACATCCTGCTGCGGGACGACGCTGGGTGCACGCTACTGCATCACGCCGTCCAGGTCGGCAGTACAGACATCGTCAAGTACCTCGTCGACAACGGTATGTGCAGGTTTTCTACACACTGAGTTATGTGACGTTTCAGGATGTTTCTAACTTCCTGTCTCGTTTGGTTTAGTTCCCACGTCTCACCTGGACGTAACCGAGAAAGACACGTGCGTTAACTTCCTGTTCGTCATGTTCATCGTTTATCTGCTTGTCCGACACACCCTCATCAGCTTTGTGTTTCAGCGGTGAGACGGCACTCCACATGGCTGCCACCTGCTGTCAGAGGATGATATGTCACTACCTGGTGGAGGGCGGGGCGTCGCTCATTAAGACGGACCTGCAGGTAAACTCACCTGTGACACAGCTGGGCCACGCCCCTTTTTGCTGCTTCTTAGTCAGTCTGTAAAAGTGACCTGGGATTGATCATGTTCCGTTTTCACACAGATTTTATAATAGAAGTTTATTTATTCCTGTTTATATATAAGTTTAGTGACTGAACTGATTTTTTCATACTCACACGTCGACTGTTTCAGTCTGTTAAACAACCGACACATACTTTCTCAACAACTTTTCAAAATAAAAGCACTATAGTTGTGCAGTGAGACGTGAAGTCTGATGTATAGCTCTTCCTTTGATTCTAACACTCATGGGCTTTGATGAGTGAAACATGTTGAGTGACAGCAGCTGCTTCCTGTCGTACGAAGCGGCTCCGACCAGCAGCTGTGACCTGTCTCACTCTCTGCAGCAGCAGCGTTACCATGGTGAAGTCAGTGGTTACAGGAAGCAGCCAATCATCAGAGCTTTAGTTTTTTCTTTTTCTCTCAGTTGATTCAGTTATTTTGTTTCAGGAGTTGATTTGAAGATTCACTGAGAAGAACTTTATATAAACAAATAAAAACCATCAGAGACTGTTTATAAACAGAATCCTTCACTGTATAATGATGGTCTGTGTGTCTCAGGGTCAGATTCCTAAACAACGAGCTCAGAAGAACAACGACCAGGAACTGAGTGAATATCTGCAGAAACATCAGCAGAGAGACGACCAGGAGACGCCTGTCTAACCACCGACCTGTCCAACCACCAACCTGTCTAACCACCAACCTGTCCAACCAACAACCTGTCTAACCACCAACCTGTCCAACCACCAACCTGTCTAACCACC